TCATCTTCAATGACCTGTACCAACATAGAGCAGAGCAGCTCTGAACGCTACCCCAACAGAGGTCGATTATCTTGTTAATAATTTTACCTCCTCACTACGTACAACTCTGGATACTGTAGCTCCTGTGAAAACTAAGGTCTCAAATCAGAAGTACCTGACTCCGTGGTATAATTCTCAAACACGTAGCCTAAAGCAGATGACTCATAAGCTGGAGAGGAAATGGCATGTCACAAATTTAGAGGATCATCATTTAGCCTGGAGAAATAGTTTGCTGCTTTATAAGAAAGCCCTCCGCAAAGCCAAACATCTTACTATTCGTCACTGATTGAAGAAAATAAGAACAACCTCAGGTTTCTCTTCAGCACTGTAGCCAGGCTGACAAACAGTCAGAGCTCTATCGAGCCAACCATCCCTTTAACGTTAACTAGTAATGACTTCATGAACTTCTTCACAAATAAAATTTTTATCATTAGAGAAAAAATTACCAATAATCATCCTACAGATGTAATATTATCTACAGCTACTCTTAGTACCATTGATGTTATGATGTTAAGTTAGACTCTTTTTCTCCAATTGATCTTTCTGAGTTAACTTCAATAATTACTTCCTCCAAACCATCAACGTGTCTTTAAGACCCCATTCCTACAAAACTGCTCAAAGAAGTCCTGCCATTAATTAATTCTTCGATCTTAAATATGATCAACCTATCTCTAATAATCGGCTATGTACCACAGGCCTTCAAGCTGGCTGTAGTTAAGCCTTTACTCAAAAAGCCATCTCTAGACCCAGCAGTCTTAGCTAATTATAGGCCAATCTCCAACCTTCCTTTCATATCAAAAATCCTTGAAAGAGTAGTTGTCAAACAGCTAACAGGTCATCTGCAGAGGAATGGCTTATTTGAAGAGTTTCAGTCGGTTTCAGAGCTCATCACAGCACAGAAACAGCTTTAATAAAGGTTACAAATGATCTTCTTATGGCTTCTGACAGTGGACTCATCTCTGTGCTTGTCCTGCTAGACCTCAGTGCAGCGCTTGATACTGTCGACCATAATATCCTATTAGAGCGATTAGAACATGCTGTAGGTATTACAGGTACTGCACTGCAGTGGTTTGTATCATATCTATCTAATAGACTCCAGTTTGTTCATGTAAATGGAGAGTCCTCTTCACACACTGAGGTTAATTATGGAGTTCCACAGGGTTCAGTGCTAGGACCAATTCTGTTTACACTATACATGCTTCCCCTAGGCAGCATCATTAGAAGACATAGCATAAATGTTCACTGCAATGCAGATGACACCCAGCTCTATCTGTCCATGAAGCCAGATAACACACACCAATTAGTTAAATTGCAGGAATGTCTGAAAGACATAAAGACTTGGATGGCCGCTAACTGTCTGCTTCTTAATTCAGATAAAACTGAGGTTATTGTACTCGGCCCTGAAAAGCCTAGAAATATGGTATCTAAGCAGATTTTTACTCTGGATGGTATTACCTTGGCCTCCAGTAACACTGTGAGGAACCTTGGAGTCATTTTTGACCAGGATATGTCCTTCAACGCACATATTAAACAAATATGTAAGACTGCTTTTTTCCATTTGTGCAACATCTCTAAAGTTAGAAGTATCCTGTCTCAGAGTGACGCTGAAAAACTAGCTCATGCATTTATTACTTCCAGGCTGGACTACTGTAATTCATTATTATCAGGATGTCCAAAAAACTCACTGAAAAGCCTTCAGCTAATCCAAAATGCTGCAGCAAGAGTCCTGACAGGGACTAGAAAGAGAGAGCAGATTTCTCCTGTTTTGGCTTCCCTTCATTGGCTTCCTGTTAAATCCAGAATTGAATTCAAAATCCTGCTCCTCACATACAAGGTCTTAAATAATCAGGCCCCATCTTATCTTAATGACCTTGTAGTACCATATCACCCTATTAGAGCACTTCGCTCTCGCACTGCAGGCCTACTTGTTGTTCCTAGAAGCAGAGCCTTCAGTTTTCAGGCCCCTCTTCTGTGGAACCAGCTTCCAGTTTGGATTCGGGAGACAGACACTATCTCTACTTTTAAGATTAGGTTTCAAACTTTCCTTTTGCTAAAGCATATAGTTAGGGCTGGACCAGGTGACCCTGAATCCACCCTAAGTTATGCTGCAATAGACGTAGGCTGCCAGGGATTCCCATGATGCGTTGAGTTTTTCCTTTCCAGTCACCTTTCTCACTCACTATGTGTTAACAGACCTCTCTGCATTGAATCATATCTGTTATTAACCTCTGTCTCTCTTCCACAGCATGTCTTTATCCTGTCTTCCTTCTCTCACCCCAACCGGTCACAGCAGATGGTTTCTTCCTGTTAAAAGGGAGTTTTTCCTTCCCACTGTCGCCAAAGTGCTTGCTCATAGGGGGTCATATGATTGTTGGGTTTTTCTCTGTATCTATGAAGCGCCATGATGCGACCTTTGTTGTGATTTGGCGCTATATAAATAAAATTGAATTGAATTGAATTGAATTGAATTGTGTCGGGGAGGGAGGAGCAGATGTGACCTTTGACTAGCCGCTCGAGGCACTTCATGATGACGGATGTCAGTGCAACAAGATTGTAGTCATTCAGACAGGAGACCACTTATTTCTTAGGAATGGGAATGATGGTGGATGTTTTGAGGGACGTGACTGCCTCAGGGAGAGGTTAAAGACTTATATCTCCTGCAACGGTATTTGCTCAAGCAAAGCACTGAAGTCTGCTGAATTATCAGCATTTGTCATCATTTAGCCATGCTTAATAATCAATAGCATGTTCATGGCTACTTCTGACTTTCAGCTGACCAGTTAAATCCAGTCATTTATTCACTAATGCAGCTCGACCATAATGATTCAGAAGAGCTTAGCTCATGGTTTTACTCTGAACTTTTTACATTTTAATGAGCAAAAAACAGAAGTGATGGTTTTTGGTGGATTTGGTTCCTTGGCACATTATGTTAAACTGGTCACTGCTAATCTGGGAGTTAAAATAGATGCAGATCCTAAACTTGAAAGCCAGGTCAGAACTGTTGTAAGAACTAGCTTTTTTCATTTGAGGCAGTTAGCCAAAATAACTTTTTGAGACGGTAATCCATGCCTTTGTTACATCTCAGCTGGATTAATCTAACACACTTTATTGTGTGAGTTTGAAACTCTTCTTAAAACATATTTATTTGCTGAGGTCTTTGGCACTTTTTAAGAGATTATTTCTATTTTTTATAATCCCCTGTTTTTAACATATTTGATGTTATTTTCTGTTTATATATGTACAGCACTTTGTGAACCCTGGTTTTATTTTAAAGTGCTTTATAAATAAAGGTGGTATGGTATGGTGAGACTTCTCTTCATTACTCTGCTGGTACTCATGTATTTATATTTGTCAGTGTGGATTAGGGCTTTCTTCCTTGGAGGCCTTAATGAATCCTAACAGAATTTATTAATATCTTGAGAAGCAGCTAATCGGGCAGCACACTGTGTACAGGATAAGTGGTAAGATAAATTCATGAGTCCATTTAAACCATGTTTTTTTTCTTTCCTATTTCTATTTTTATAAAGTAGTTTTTCAGGCTTTTTGAATTTCTTTCAAAGTTTTCTTTGGACATCAGCTGGTTGTTTATTCATTTTCAGTCCACTCCTTGATTTGTTTGTTTGTTTCATAAACCGCTTAAGCACTTTATGAAACAAACATTTGTGCTTGAATGATCCTATGAATCATTCAAGCATAAATAATGCCCCTACTGCTTTTTAGTTACTCCACAATGTACCTGTTTATCACTCTCATGGTCAATTAGTGATGATTAGCTAAGGGTATCCGGCATTCTACTAGGATGGTTCCTAGGTGATATGTTTTGAGCTTGTTCAACTGGTCCGGAAAGACCCAGGACATGCTGACATTATGAGCATATCTGGCTTTGGAATGTCCCCAGACAAGAGCCTGAGGAGGTGGTCTGGGAGTGTCTGTGTCAGACTGGATCTAGAGTCGAAAATAGACATTAACAGTTTTGGGGATACCAACTGAAAAAAAATCATGTCCATATTTTTCAGTGAAACAAGCATACTGGCAAAGTACAGTACAGATGACTGATAGAGTAAAAGTAAAATTCAAATAGTCAAAATTAAGTAAATTTTGTATAATTTATTCAGCCTGAGTGGCAAATAAAGTTCTTACACACATAGTCCAGCTTGAAAAAAATAATTACAATATGAAGAGTAGAAAGCCAGAGAGAGGAGAGGCACAGTAGTGATGCAGGATAGCACTGTCACCTCAAAGGGGCCCGGGTTTGAATCCACCAGCCGCCTGAGACTTTTCTGTGTGGGGTTTGCAAATGCTCTCCCCGTGTCTGCATGAATTCTCTCTGAGTACTCTGGCTTCCTCCCACAGTCCAAAGACATGCATGTTCGGTTACTTAGTGAATTTCAAATAGGCCATGAATGGTTGTCTGTCTCTGTGTGTTAGACTGATGAGGTACAGCCCTGTGACAGGTGGTATAGGCAAAAACAGGCAACAAAGCCTTAAATCTTGTCTGTTGAATCTATTTGATGAACTGTTTTTCAAAGGTTTATTCGTTTTATTAAAGGCTTGTTCTGCAGGACATAGTATTGTCTTTTTTATTGTTCCTTAAATCACAGAAAACTGACAGATTGTCAGCGGGCATTCAGTGTGCAGCCCGCTTCTATTATTGTTCTTTCACTCTGACTGGCTGTTTTACTGACTGGCTGATGAAGCGGCTGACGCATACACTCACATACACACACACTTTCTCTCCATTGTCTGGATGCCAAGCTTATGTGTAAGCTCCACACTCAGCCTTCTATCACTGTAAATTTAGCAACAGAAGCTTCTCAGCTGCTCCTTTCCAAAACCTGAGCCCTCCTCTTCCATCCATAGTATTTCACCCATCTCCTTCTCCAGGGTCATAGCTGCAGGCCCCCCACACCCTCCCCACCTTCTCCACACATAAACATATATGCTACACACACACCTCGTTCTCATCCCACAGCCAATAAGGGCCTGATGGGCTCAAGTATCACATACTATAACACAAGGACTTATTCTCTGAGCGGAGCCTGCAGTTCCTTACAGACCTTCATCTCCATCGTCTGAGGAGTTTCTCTTCATCTCTGAGGTAAGATGACAAGAGACACTCGAGAGCCTGGATTCACATTTGAAGATGGTTTCTGAGATTTTGTTTGCTCTTTTATATCTGCTTTGGAGGTTTTGGTTTTGTTACATTTGCGGAGAAGGAGAAGGAAGTCTCAGGGTCATAAACACCAGATAACAGTTTGTCCTCAAACACTGCAAAGTAGCATTTGGACATATACATGTTCACTGCATGTGTACTTTATGTGTTGGATGGTTTATAGTCCATATCAAGAGCTGGAGTCCAATTTCTTGGGCTAATTTGATTGGGAAGTTCACTTAAAAAATTTTCTATGTAAGATGAAAGCTGGAAACAAAATGTATGTGCTTTCTAAAGCTGATCATCATTTGCAATGAAGGAGAAATGCATTCAAGCAATCTGACAGCTGTACTTAGTACGTTTAAGCAGCTTGTTGTACAAGAAACTGCATACTGTGAAGACGCGAAGGGACTTGATACTCCAACTTTAAGTATCTAATCTATGTTACATTTACAGTCATTCCCAAATAACATACCTGCTGCAATCGAGATGAAGCATGGCTTCAGATGTGAAGTTAGTCCTTCTGAAATGTCTGATATGAATGTAACTCCAGGATAATACTGTGATGGTGGTTTGGAGAGGCTTTCAAATGAGCAATGGACATAAGCCTAGAGCTTATCAGGGGGTCTAACCACAAAGATATGCAGATTCTCTGAGCCTCATAACATCAAGCAGGTATTTATTTTTATTTTCATTGATTCCACTTACAAATTCACACAAATATGTACACATTAAGATTTTTGAAGAGATGCTCACATGTACACCAGTTTAGCATTGTGTTTCAGGTTGTAGATGAGAAGATGCTTATTGTTAGATTTCTGCATTTAATCAAGCATTTTGCCTTGGTAGCTCTTTAATCTTAGATCATTGTCATTATGCCATATCCTTTGTACTCTTAGAAGCACTGCAAACAGGTGTTTCATCTTGGAGACACAGAGGTTTGATCTTCTACCTACCTATCTTCTCTCACCCAGACTGATGTGATGTGTCTATATATTCCTATCAAGTTGGTATTTCAATCTAAATCTGAGTATGATTGGCTCAGGATGCGACTTTCCTCCGCCGTCTCACCTGTTATGTCAGTCTTTCAGTTTCAGCGCCAAGTTTTAGTTTCAGAAAGACTCAGAAAGACTTCTCAGCATTCAGTGTTCTCATACTGAAGAAATGAAGTCGCCATCCACTAAATATACAGAGCGCTGAAATGTAGGTATGTGCTGTATGAATGCTGGACACACAGAGGTGAGACTGCTGTCAGCTGTAAGTCGATCAAAGAGCTCATTTGTCGGAGGTGGCTGGAGATTGGCTGTTTAACTGGAAAGGATCCTCCCGCTGGACGGAGTCGAGGGATTAAAGAAGCTATTTGGACACTGTTCCTCAGCTGATGGGTAGAAATATGATCCAGAGCTAATCCTCTGGGTCCTCTGCAGCTGTGCCCACACTAAGTGTGAAAGAGTCATCCAAAGACACTTTTTATATATCAAATATGATATAGTTGAATATAGACTATGTAGAGAGGTAGCAGTCCTCCAACAGAGCTTATCCTTGTACGTTTAACCATGGGGAAGTTGTTTGGAACTCAGCATTGCAAAAGGGACTAAAAGAAGGTTTTCACAGTGGGGTTCATTAGATTTTGTTTGTCATGCTTTTTGAACTCTTAAAGCACATAAACATATTTGTTGAAGACATTTGCTTGAAGTTGTTTAGCCCATTTTTTTAGCATCTGATTTGACTGATTTGTCATACTTTTCATTTTCACTATGATGCACTCACTTTTATTCAATTTGTCCAGCTGCTAAAGGATTTCTGCCTCTGCTCTATCTCTGCAGAGGAGGTGAAGTTAATTTTTTTATGTCCTCACAGATCAGGAGAATAAAATAAATATCTAGCCTGTGGATTTAAGTGGATTGGTTTAAGATGCACATACACCCTTTGCCATTTTAGAGTTTCAGATTGTTATAATGTAAAATCAACTAAGTCGGGTTACTGCTTGTTTTAAAAACAATCCAAAAATGGGGCTTCAAAAGTGAAGTGAAACAGTGATGATTTACTGCTCTCTTTTTAGTGAGCTAATGTGTAGTGTCTAGTATATTGCAGTAGGCTCATGAGGGAGCTGAAGCCTATCCCAGCTGTCATAGGGTGAGAGGTGTCGTACATCCTAGACAGGTCAAAACAAGCCTTTAATGATCTTTAAGCTAAAGATGGCTCATATTACAAGCATCTTCTTCCTCTTTTGGCTACTTCTTTTAGGGGTCGGTACAGTACTGCCTACTTTTCATCCTCTTCTGTCACACCGACACTCTGCATGTGGTCTTAAACTGCATCCATAAATTTTATCTGAGGCGTTCCTCTTTTTGTCCTGCCTTGCAGGAGATTAGAGATCTACAAACCATCAACTTGAGTTGTACCTCTGATGTACTGATTTCTAATCTTGACCCCAGGTATCATCTACCTTCATTATCTCTGCTCCTTGCATTTTCACCTTTCTGCCCATCTCGCTCTCTCTCATTCACACACATGTATTCTATCTTGTATCTTTCATTTCTCTTCTCTCCAGACTCTCTTAAACCTGGTCCCAAAAAGGGGCTGAGACCAGAGCTCTGGTGTCACTCCTACCACAAACCTCACTACTCTGTCTCGATCCTCATACATGTCCTGCACAGATACCACTTATTTCAACTCATTTCAAATTCCTCTTTCTCTTTTAATTAATTGACATCCAATGTGTGGTGTATACGCACATTTATATTCCATGTCATGCCTTCGATTTTCACCTTCAAATTTGTGATCTTGTCTGATGCTTTTCTACGGTGGCACATACAAACTCCAAAACGCTTACAAATTCCAAAACACTTAAAAATTCCAAAGCACGTACAATTTCCAAAGCACGTACAAACTCCAAAACACCTACAAAACTCCAAAACACTTACAAACTCCAAAACACATGCGAACTCCAAAATACTTACAAATTCCAAAGCACGTACAAATTCTAAAGCATGTACAAACTCCAAAACACGTGCAAATTCCGAAAACTCCAAAACATAACGGAAGTGCTCCAGGACACTAGAGGCAGTGTTGAGTTTTTCTTACCTAGTGGCTACGCAAGCCAGGAAGTACCAACGACCGGATTTGGTGTGTGGTAGTAACAGGTAAATGAACTTTTTTTTTTTTTTTTAATTATTTGAATATATATGAGTGTGGTTGTTCTATCCTTGCAGGTCTTTTCCGCAGGTATCCAACTCCATGTGTTTGCAACAAACTTGCCATTTATTTTGCAAATCGAGCTCAGCACTGCCCCTAGCGTCCAAGAGCAGTTCCGTTGTGTTTTGGAGTTTGCATGTGTTTTGGAGTTTGCACGTGCTTCGGAATTTGTACGTGCTTTGCAGTTTGTATGTGCTTCGGAGTTTGCATGTGTTTTGGACTTTGTACGTGCTTTATTTCTAGGGGCCACCGTACTTTTCCTCTCTGCAATGCTTAAACTCGTCTTCTGCTTCATTTCACTTCCTATTTAAACCATAGCAGAAGAGCCCTTTGATTGCTCTTGCCCTTACTTCCCTTCCTTGCACACACAATATATCTAGCTTACTTCTCACCATCATATCAGGCACCTCTCTCCCTTTACCAGCCATAGTCTACATTTGAAGTCCCTCTCACCTTGCCGCTCCTGCTTTTTCTTCTCTCTTGATGCTTCCAAGCATAACTCCTCCATTTCCTCTTCTTTTGTCTTCAGCCAACAGTAGCAAACTTTCCACTGGCACCCTGTTTCCCAATAGCACCACAGGCGGTCATTGTTTACCTGGAAACCAATTCCAGCATGGAGATCTCATTTTTCATGATCCATGGATTTGATTTGGCCAACATTTTAGGCTGGATACCCTTCCAGATGCAACCCTCTGGCAGCAATTTATCCAGACTTGGGACAGACACTAGGAATACACTGGCTTGGAGTTCCAACACCCTACCCCATGGCTTGGTTGGCTTATATGATAAGTGCTGATGACAATCTTCTGTGTTTGCGGACTGAATTCTCACACATCAACACAAACTTGCAAAGAGGATAACACCTTCCAAACAGCTGAGTAAACAGCCCTGGATTAGGTGTGGAAATGCTACAGTAAGGACAGATACACTATGTGACTGCTTTCTCACCTTATAAGCAGGCACAGGAACAACTGTCACAGATTAGATAGAAGAATTCCAAAAATAGTGAATAACCTCAGTTATTCTCAAACTGAGGCTACGTCCTAATGTATTTCTGTTTGAAAACGCATCCTTTTCTCTCCATTTTGGCCTCCCATCCACACTGAGACGGCGTTTTCACTCATGGAAAACACAACGTTTTGAAAAGGCTCTCAAAAACACATACATTTGAAAACGGTGCTTTTGCGTCGCAGTGTGGACAGTGAAAACGGAGACTTTATAAAACGATGATGCATGTTAGTCATATGATGCCGTCATGTGACCAATTAAACTAAGATAGCGGAGGGAATTATACAGCAGTTGTTTTGTTTGCTCTCAAATTTGACAGCCCTATTGAAGATTAATATCAGTCTGTACATGCTCCAGATAGCTTTTCTTCAAATTCTTTAACTTTCACTCGCTTTTGCAACTTTGTACTTGCAACTTTGTACAAGGTGGAGCAACAACTCCACCTTGTTGTTAGTCCATTTAACAAACTCGCTGCAACGTTTCAAAGAGCCGGAAAGTAAATAAGCAGCAGACAGAAATAAGGCAGGTCGAATCTTCTTGCGTTTCATGCATGCACAGTACTAGAACCCAAGCATTTTCGGCTGTTTCAATGACGACGCACAACTCTGTGAAAACGACTGAAGACGCTAGTGTGGACGCGGAGCGTTTTCAGATGAAAACGCCGTTTTCAAATCTATCCAGGCTAGTGTGGACAAAGCCTCTATGTCACTGCAAATGCAGAGATGTTTTTCCATAGTTCCTGAATACGAACAAAATTTACCTGGAAAGTAAAATATACATTTTGGCTTGTTTTCTCATGTTCCCATGAATTGAATCCCAGGTTTACTTTGTTGTACTGGCACAATCCCACTGCTGTACCTCACTCTTTGTCTTTCTCCTCAGGTGTAAAGTCTGCTGTCACTATGTCTGACACTGAGGAAGTGTAAGTGCCCACCAATAATGACTCATGCTTCTTCTTTTTTAAACTCACTCTTTATCAAAAAAAAAAAAAACATTTTTTGTTTGATATTTGAAAGATGTGTTTTTCATGTTTCAGGGACAATATCGAGGGTAAGTGACAACCACACAGTTTGGTTCATTTTCATCTAGCTAATAAATCATGGAGTCTCTGTTCGTCTGCCGGTGTGTTTGTCTGTTCTTCACTTACTTTACTTAAGTGATCATCTGATCTACTTCAAACTTAGCAGGTGTGCTACCCATGTAAGTGCACTGTTTTGTTTGAAGTCTTTCGGATGAGGTAAAATCTCATTTTAGAGCCTCAATGCTTGATTGTGTACATTCCTCTGTTATATCCATTGGTATACTGTACACATTGAATAAATACATTTTATAGAAAACAGCAAAATATTTCAGTTACAACATTAATAGAATATGCTACTTTTATTTTTCACCTGTCACATATATACTGAACTTGAAAGTGAAAATAGATTTCACAGAGACACTTGCTTTCCTTTTGTCCCAAGCTACACTGGGAATAATGTCATAAGCCTTTATTATATTGCATTTTGCCATTTAAAATACAAATTAAACATTTCCCCTATGACTGATTCTTGATCAAATTCAAATTTAAATGTGATTATGAAATGACACAATGTTGTTTGTTTGTCCCACCATATTTTTTTTTTCAATAACTGAAGAAGAGGAAGGTAAAGACAACTGATCGGCCAGACATCACAACCTTTATCCACTGTACTAATTGTTGAGTGTTTGTTTTACCCTTAATTTGAAGTGTTTGATGTTGGCACCAGCCGTGAAATTACTATATACTAACATATGCATAGATGAAATTAGGATTCCAACAGGATTTAGGATCTGCAAAATTAACCTTCCACTTTTTATTCTAGTTATATTAGAAATATTTGGGGTGACAATGCTATTACATCTGAACCTTCTCTCATGTATGTACAGTGTAGAAGAAAAAAAGAAACTCATAATCTGGGAGTACTTGGAATAAAAATACAGCATATTATTGATTTATTAATTTATTTATTCATTCATTAATCCATATTTATTTATCTTTATTTTGTTACTGCAGCATAACTAACATCTAGCTCTCAATCAAATACTTCCAAGTTAAGGGTGACTTCTCTGGCGGAGTGAAGTTTTTACTCACATGGAAGAAAAAATGTTTTTTAGCATCCGGCTATCTACATTTTTCTCGACATGTGACTTGTTTACATGGTCATCTGTTAATGTCAGTACCTCCGTCATTGACCTAATTCACACAACAGCTATTTTTTGAACAGCTGATGTAGCAAACTGCTTGGATGAAAACCATAATGCTTAGTTATTCATCCAAATATCACAAGCAAATCGGGTGGTGCTCAAAGGGATATTTAATAATAGGATGTTATGATATCTGTGAAAATCTTTTGGACGGGTTAGTTTCTAGCTAACTAACAAGATAGAGCTAAAAACTAGTTTAGCAATGTTACCTTAACTTAATAAACATTTTATTAAGTTATGCTAACATTATTTTCATTGATCATAGTTTCCCTACAATACATTTGTGAAACATTTTGTAGGCAGTAAACATGTTCCTAGGGTTTATCATGCTCAGGTATATTAGCATGTGTAGACAAGCTTAAATTGTTCCTGAATAAAACTAAAGGGGTGTTATCATTAACACTGATAATGTCATGATAATCTACAGTATTGGAACTATAATGTAAAACAAGTGTAAAACACCAGTTTTTCTTTTTTTTGAAAATGCCATGACAGTGTCTTTTAAAATATTTCAGAAATGTCAGAATAGTAATAATTCATTAATATCTAACATTTTGTCAATATTAGATTGCAAAACATGGTGTTCTAAACATGAGCTCAGTTATCATCTGATAGCCTATAGGTTTTTACATCGATAACCTAAAATGATCTTTGTGAGCCAGAATGTTTGTTCTTCAGTTATACATTCAGTTATACATCAACAGTTCGATATGGCTTCTGTGTGAAAGGTCAACTGACTATTTTTCATCATCATCTGTTTCTCTCTCTCTTTGTTCTCCAGCAGCACTGTTCCTTGTTCGCTCAACTATCCTCTCTGTAACTAAAGTACTCTCTCACTTTTGGTTTCTAATGGCTCTGTCATGTCTATGGTCTTCATTAACGGCCTTTTCCGACATCCTCCCTCTCCCCGGTGGTTTGGTGCATGCTGTGTGCCCGTAGCCCAGGAGGAGGTAGTAGAAGTAGAAGTAGCCCCTGAGGCGGAGGCCCAGGTAGAAGCAGAAGCAGAGGTAGAGCCTGAACCAGAACCAGAGCCAGAGGTGGTGCAGCAGGTGGTTCATGAGGAGGAAGGTATGTGGCATGGGCAGTCCCGTCACCTTTTTTCTGCAGGACATCCAGCACTTTAAACCATAGGACAGTCAGTCCTGTAACCATCCACACACTGCAAATAATATCCTACCTGACAAGTCAAAAGGACAAACACTATGACTAAAGTTTTTGATTTTATATTTGGAAATATTCAGTTCATTTTTATTGACTGAACAATACAGAGCAAACCCCATCAATCAAACAACGCCACTTGGCGACTGTGGGAAAGAAAAACTCCCTTTTAATAGGAAGAAACCTCAAACACAACCAGGCCTAGGGAGGAGGGGCCATTTGACATGACCAGATGTGATGGGAGGAAGACAGGATGAAACACATAACAAATAACTAAAATGTCCAAAAAAAAAATCCACTTGTGGATTATTATGCACCAGCTAGATTTTGTGGTATGAATTCTGAATGCTCAGTAAGTTGTTCTTAACTCATTATTTTCAAAGTAAATATGCAGTTTATTTTTACACTGTAACGGTGAAAAAACAGAAACACCAATCATCCTAAAGTTTTTTTGTTTTTTTACTTTCCATTCACACAGACATTTCAAATTCCTTCAGAACAAACTGATAATATCTCATCTCCAGACTACATATGTGATTTTTACATACTCTGGAGCACTGATCTCAGTTATGTCAAGACAAGACTAACAAACCACACTTCACCTTTAATCAGATGATAAAAGACTCAGGTGCCTTGTTGGGTTCGATATTTTGGCAGTTGACTAATCTAGTTCCACTTTAGCTTCCATTTAGCCCTTTCCACTGGTGTTGCCTTCTCTTCATAACTGCCCTGTTTGAAAATAAGAGGGTCTGAAGATACCTAGATCAAATTAATGGATGTTTTTAATGCAGAACAGGTTTTTAAATCTTTCGAAAACCAGAATTAGCTTACCCAAGTTTATCCATTGTCTAGTTACCCATTGTCAAATTAGCCACAACATAGCTAGTAACAGTATATCTCCTCCAAATGTGAGATGTGTTTGACTCTTTTGTTTTCTTAAATATAACCATATGTATACATTTAAACATGTTTGCAGGGTTTAGACTTAGGTGAAAACACAAAGGGTCAGAATATGTTTTAGTTCTTGGAAGGTTCCCAGGCAGTATCAGCAATTCAAATTTAGGTGTAGTTTACTGGTGCTTTTCTGGTGCTATCCTTAGATTATACGATTTCTTATAATCTAGGTAACATATCACTATGGGATACTGGTCACAGTCATGTACTTTACAAAATGTTATCATTCAAAAACAGAACAACAAAAGTTGCACTGGCATACTGAAAAATCTTGAGTTTATGAATGCTGTCATTTACATATCAATACATTTTCCACTTTAGTCTTTTTCTAGTGACATATGCTAAAGGGCCTTTTGTTGTAGATACCGCTTTTGGGAGTGCACTGCAGAAAACATGTAGATTTTGCTCTCTAAAATGTCTAGTTATAATTGCATCATCATCAGTGTTAGAAGAGACACAGTAAAACCATTTTTCATTGTCCTGGTTAAGCAATATTGCTGTGTGTTTGGAATATGAGCTGTGCATATAAATCTTGAAAGAGAGGACAAGAACATTCACTGCTTTTACATGAATTGGTTTCCCTTGGTCATCTATGGTCTTCTATCCATTTAGTGTCTCATTTTGTTTTTATAACCTTCTCCAGTATTTTGCATTTTGGCAAACTCGTGTCACTCTGTAAGACCAAATCATAAAGGATGATGGGAAATTTTAGCCTGTAAAAGCAATTTGCAATTTCTTTTCCTTTCTTCAGTCCAGCTTTCTTTTTTTCTGTGTGTATATGTGGAGTGAGACCAGCAAATTGCTCTGTAGCATTTACATTGGGGTATTATGGTGCAAAAACATATTGTCAAGCCCTCGAATAAATTTAGAATCTTTCATTACAGAGTCACTGCAGAAGTCCCTTGCTTTGGTGTACTATTGTTGAACTAATGAACTCTTGCTGTACTGCTTCAATTTAATAATTTTTTGTTCAGCTTCATGGCCCAGGCACAGTTGAGTAAAAATAGTATGGCAACTTTCAATTTAACCATTTTCAAGTAGTTGCATCATCCTTCTGGTAATCCATAGATTGAATATGCAACTTTCTTAGTGTCTGCATAACTGACTGCAATCATTCTCAGACAGATTTACAAAGGTTTTCAAATAATAACGATTTATTTCTTTAGTGTTGAAAGCTTTTCTTAAAACTCAGTTAACATGAACATTCGATATCCAAGATTTGATATGGAGTCAGCTGCCTATCAAAATAAAACTTAAAACAACAGGTGCTTGCGACGTTAATCTAGAATGAATGCATGCCATGATATGGGACTTATGCAGTGGCTGCTGCTGCCTACAGTATGAATATAAACACCCCAATATTGTAAATGTGCTTTATAAGCTGCGCACCATGAAGAGGACAGGAACAGGCTGCCCAGTCCAATCACTAATGGTTTCTGTTCTGCTCTTGCTTTGGATGCTTGCTGCATGCAGAGGCCTATGAAGAAGAAGGTATGTAGAATTGAATTCTTCTCTGTTCTTCTCATTGAACCTGTTCTTTGTTTTCCTGTTGGCTGGGGACCTTTCACACATGTATAATTGTTTTTCTGATCTTTCTTGAAGAGAAAGGCAGAATTAATCAATTCGGTTTAGTCTGTGCATCAGGTGACCAATGTGACCTGGAGGAACGGGTTGAAGGATTCATTAATACTGAGTCATGGTTACGGGCTGCACCACTCATCTGTGCTTCTTCTCTTTTTTGCATGATTGTGTCCTGCCAGGGGAGGAGGGAGATCAAGATGGTAGTTTGCATTTCCTGCTGAGTCCATGTTGCTTTGCCTGTTTTTTCCCTCCCCATGTTGTCCGTCTCTATTTAATTTTTTTATAGTAGGTTCCTGCAAGAAAATAAAATGCTAATCACACACATCCCAATCCCAGTTATGTCTTTACCACAAAAAAGATTAACAGTAACAGTTACAAATACAAAGTCCCTCGTTGTGACAAGTGTGCACTGATGTACTGTATGTTCAGTAAATGTAACTATAAAAGGTTTCTATGTGTTGATTTATGACACCGCATACTGATCCTGATTTGCACTTTTTAAATCATATTGTTTTGATTTACACACTAATGCACAAAAAAATAACAGAAAAGTAAGGTAACACACTACAGTGGCCTCGTTCCTGTGCACCGATGGGCTTACCAGCAAATGCTACATCAAATCAACATTCTTGTTTCTTAGTTTAGGCCTGTGGAATGTAATATAACCTGTGACGCTCTGTCATACTTTTAAAAATAAATAATGGTGTCATATAAGCAATACAGATTTGATCATATTGTAGATTCTTACTTTTTTTTCCTCTATAAAAACCTCAGAAATATAAGGGGACTGTAAAATATTTTACTACTAATCCTAATTCTTTCTTACATAATCTTACATAATGCATAAATGACAAAATTGTAATTTATTTGTTATTGAATATCTCTTCATGCACAGAGTAATTTTCTAGCCTTTACTCTTAACAGCTACATATGAACTCACTGTGTAAATTTCCCACAATTCATGCTGTGTAATTACATTAGGCTACTTAAATCAGAAGCTAATGCACAGTAATTGGGTCACTGTTAATGGAAAGTATTGGACAATTAAAACTCACTCTTATACAATGATCTACTGGAGGTGTGAAACAACCTGCAGCCTCAGAAATAACTCAGCTTGTCCACTTGGATCTTCTTCCCTAATTAACCAGCACTTTAGACACTACACTCTCTCTACATTTATATGTCTAATATTTCAATCTCTCTCCTGTCCCTGTTGTGTTTTTGTTTTTCTTTCTGTGCCAAAAACCCAGAAGAGAAGCCAAAGTTTAAGTAAGTATGCACTATTGTTTGAACCTGAGGCTTTTGCATAGCTAGCATCTGTACATTTATATACTATAAATTACCTTATTTGTTTATACCTCTCATACTTTATTTTACAGGCCCACTGCTCCGAAGATCCCAGATGGCGAGAAAGTGGATTTTGATGTAAGCTGACTTGTTAAAATGTTAAAATGAAGCCAGAAAAGGATTATACATAAAGCTGAACTTAAGTCCTTGTCTCACTTCAAAACTAAAAACCAGACCTCAACACTTTTGATCATTGTACAAAAAGAAGAATCCATTTTAAAGAACCAGGTTTGTTTTTTCTAAAGTAAAAGTCAGTTTAATAGCTCAAGTAGAGTTTTATTTTTTTAATATAAACAAAAATTATAATTACTCAGGTTTGAGTCCATATTTTTTCCCATGGGCCTTGCTCCACCTGCAGTGACTCTGTGTGTGACCAATGGGCCATCCCCCACAATTTGAGTAGATGTACTGGTTCTTATATCGCGCTTTTCTACTCTATTTAAGCGCTTCATACAACATGTCTCATTCACTTATTCATACCCATTCACTCACTGTTTTCCTTTTTTTCTTTTCTATCTAACCTCATAGCGCGTGCTCAATATCTGATGAATGTATTAGATGCAGACTGGAGCAGCCAGCAATTGGCCAGCAACCTTCCAATTATTACACAGTGTAATCTGCCATGTATATAATTTGAATTTATAAGGGTCTGTTGCTACTAACTTACGGTTCTCTAATAGTGTTGGGCTAGCAATCAGCTGTGTCATGTATGATCACAGCTAGTACATGTTTATGAAGGCAGCCTCATGCCGTTCTTGTCTTACAGGATATCCAAAAGAAACGTCAAAACAAAGATCTTGTAGAGCTGCAGTCACTGATCGATGCTCACTTTGAGTGCAGGAAGAAGGAAGAAGAGGAACTCATAGCTCTCAAGGAGAGAATTGTGAGATTGCATCCCAATTATTTATTACAGAATGAACCCAGAATATGTAATGGTATTTTTCTGTCAATAAGCATTGCAGGACCATCAAGTATCTTGATTTGTGTTTTCAGGAGAAGCGTCGTGCTGAGCGAGCTGAGCAGCAGAGGATTCGCGCTGAGCAAGATAAAGAGCGGCAGGCCAGGCGGGAGGTACGCATAAAACTGTCTCTTTTTGATCTGGTGTGAATCAGAACAAAATACAAATCTCTTTTAACAGTTTGGTCACTCTCTCAAGTAATTAATGATTCCAGTAGTTTGGTTAATCTTCAGCAGCAGGCAAGGATACAGATGAAAAAAAGAGTAGTGACACACTGATTGCTACTTATTCAGATTTTCAAATATGCTGCATATCTCACTGCAGCCGTAATTTCATTCAGGAATTTCAAAAATCCTTTGGACAAACTCAGTATGAACAGAAAAGCTGTTTTTTTTCCCTTTTGCTCTGTAATAATCAAATTTTAAAATTCATTCTGCAGGCTGAGCGGATGAGAAAGGAGGAGGCCGACGCTCAGAGAAAGGCTGATGATGATGCCAAGAAGAAGATAGCACTGACAAACATGGGATCGGGCTTAAGCAGCCACCTGCAGAGGGTACCATGTGTTTCACTTATTAAGTTTCAGATCTTTGCTACAGCTTCACACAAAGCAGCCAGCTAAATAATTGTGCAGACTTACAGTTTTAATTGTGTGTGATGTTTCTCTAGATTGAACAGAGAAGAGGCAAGAAGCAGACTGAAAGAGAAAAGAAGAAGAAGGTTCTTGCAGAGAGATGCAAACCCCTGAAAGTCGATAATCTCAGTGATGACAAGCTGAGGTAACAAAAAGGGGAACAAATGAAGGAAACCCACAGAAGATATTTGATTTCATTTTCACTGTTCTTTTCAATTCAATTCAATTTCTTTGATATAGCTCCACATCACAACAACAGTAGATCCTACAATAATTTGTTCTTTTAAAATGTATTAGCAACAGATAGATTGGAACAGCAGCTGACTCAACATGAAGAAGATGAATGTGAGGCGACCGTGGCTCAGGGGGGTTGGGAAGCGCATCTGTAACCGGAAGGTCGCCGGTTCATTCCCCGGCCTCTCTGTCCTGGTCGTTGTGTCCTTGGGCAAGACACTTTACCCTACTGGTGATGGCCTCGCTTCTGTCAGTCTGCTCCAGGGCAGCTGTGGCTACAACCGTAGCTTGCCTCCACCAGTGTGTGAATGAATAGTGGCATTGTAAAGCGCTTTGGGTGCCATGAAAAGCGCTATATAAATCCAATCCATTATTATTATGAATGATTACCATGAAATATTTCACAGATTACAACTAACTGAGCTCTTTATATGCTATATAACAAGTGCACATTTTGAGTAAAGATTTATATTCAAAAATTAAGGCAAATGTCTTACAATTCTCATGTTTTCTTGACTTTCAGAGAAGTTTTATAAAAACAGTGTCGTATCTTTACAATCATACATACAATGCAATCAGGCACTGTTAAAAGCAATAACTTGTCAAAAGATTATCTTAAAATTCTCCCAGAAACTCAACCCAAAATGGTAAATGAACATGGTTCTAAAAATAGTCACTGCCTTGCTGTGACACACACAAAGTCAAGCTCAGCCAAAACTCAATCAGATCACAGTGCCCACCCACAGCAGCTTCTGGACATCCAAATCTCATGCAGGCAGTGCTCTAGACTAACTTTTTGCCACGGTTGCACTGGTGTGCCTAACTTCTTTTCTTAGGCGTATCAGCTCAAAAGTTAGGCGCACCCAAATTTTTCATCCACTACATCCACTTCTGTCGGGCCAAGGGTACTCACTAGGGCTGGGTATCATCACTGATTTCTATAATCCATTCAATTCCGATTCACAAGGTCCCAATTTGATTCGAATCAATTTTGCTTCAGACAGTCAGAAATATTATAATTCTGGTCATTTATCAGTACTGATACATGTGAGACTTCATCAGAATTGTGAACATCACAGCAGATGCCTTTGTGTCAAAGTAACTGAGAATAAAACACAGAAAAACATGAAGGCAATTTTCCTGGCCTGGCTTTTTATAGCAGATAACCTTAAAAATATTCTGCAATATTCAGAAATTAGGCTTTCTTGTCTGAGGACATTTAAGTAAAAAAAAAAAAAAAGACAGCGGCCAACAGCGCTGTAAACAATGGTAGACTGGTGGGTAATAAGCAAATGAATAATGCAGAAGACAGATTTTTAGATGGGAAACTGTTCTTAAAGTACACTGAGAGAGAGAAAGAGAGAGAGAGAGAGAGAGAGAGAGAGCTGTGCTTGAAGTGTGATTGGAAGCGTGGTCGAAGCAAACAGCGAAAGTCAGAGGGAACATTTATCAAATGTGAAGCATAGTTTGGATCTTTTTTTGCTGCTGGTTTAGTGAATTTTGGTTGGAGAGAGACAAAACCTGCAGCTCAGAATCTAGCACAAAAAAAGAGTAAACACAAAGCGCGGACCCACGAACGCTTCAGAATCAGTGAGCTGTCAGCTTTTAGCCCCAAAATATATTTATATTTAGAAGTCGATTCAGGATTGAATCGATATCACTTTATTCAAGCTACTCACCTCTTTCTATCCGCCTGCCCTGCACTTTCAAACGTACACGCGAAAGACTACAAGACTATCTGGACCACGGCCAATCAGAGAGGTCCCGCCCTTGGCTATCTCTGATTGGGTTAGACCACGATAGGGGCATAATGTGTGTCTGTTGTTGATCACACGGAGACTTTCAGAGTTGCGGAGACTTTTTTTTTTTTACTGAACAGTTGGTCACACCAGTGTGACCTAAGACTTATTTTAGTTGCACCATTGAAAAATGTGGTCGCATTTGCAACCAAATTGGTCGCACTATAGAGCCCTGCATACAGGCCTTGCTATTTAGGCTTTTCTAGTCTGCCCACAGTTGTTTAGCACTGCAAGCAACTTTGCAACCCACTTCCATCCCACTTCCCCTTTTCCTTATGTGTCTTTTTATGTCATCGTTCAGTTGAGTCCCCCTGCTGTTCTCGCAGCCTCTTACTGAGGATGCAGTATTTGAATGTTTAAAATGCTTGAAAAAAACAAACAAAAGAAGATGGATTCAATTTTTTTTTTAAATTCAGAATAGTTTTTCTTTACCATTATGTCAAAAATAGAGCAGCTTGTGGTGAATTTTCACGTGGCACTTCTTTAGTATTGACAAAAAAGCTAAGTGAAAAATTCTTACTCTGTTTGGTAAAGATGAAAACTGCTTTTTTTTTTTTATTGCTTTAGCCATAAGACTGAATCCTTGGTTTGTGTTTGCTAGGGAAAAGGCAAAAGAGCTGTGGGAATGGCTGCACAACCTTGAGGCAATAAAATACGACCACTGTGAGAAGCTTAAGAGGCAAAGATATGAGGTTGGTAAAGAAATATATGTATTGGTTGCCAAATGTCCTGGTTTGTCTTTTTCACCTGAAGGTAGGGTCAGATATTTTCACATCCGATTAATACCTCTTTTGAGATCATTCTCATCATTTCCTGTCTGGTGTCACTTGTGCTACCACAACAACAACAAGTAGCATTTCAGTGTTCAAACATACAGGTTTTCTAAGTATCTAATGATGATGTCTTTCAGGTTGTTTCTCTCAGGAACCGTATTGATGAACTGCAGAAACAGTAAGTTATGAACATAAACAGACCACATCAGGCAGCAAAACTAAATACTACTAAATTCCCTCTTCTTAGGAGAGTGATTGAGACATACAAGGACAGAAATCTGTTTTTGTAGTAATGTTGCACTGATTTGACCTTTTCCTGACTCAATCTATTAAAAACACTCACAAAGTAGTTCATTTCATTTTATGCTAAATAAAGTAAGTTTATTATTTTGTCCTCTCAAAGGACATGGAGCTTTCTTAATTGACAAAAGAATACGTTTCTGCCTGTGCACCATGTGTTTGCAGATTTAACTAATATAGCAAGCCAGGCGCTTTCTCTATATTTTGCTTTATTATGCTTCGTCCTTGTTCCTTTTGCAACATCATTTGGTTTTGTCTGTAGATTTAAAGTCTGCAGCATCTGTAAGGACATTTATAGGATATACTTCATCCCATAGACTTTTCTACATCCATGCAACCATATGCCTTCTGGTTACTTTTTGATAGTCATAAAACATGTTTTAGCAACAGAGGGCGCTGTTGACTTAAAGCTTTTCAGTCGTGTTAAGCATGTTTAATTCATGGGCAGAAGCCGCACAACAGTTTTAGATCCCAACAAACTGTTTGAATTACAAAGAAATGAAATTTTATTGTCATTTTTTCTAACCCTCTGCATATTATAAATTCAATTTAGTGCAAGACGACTGTTGTTCATGGTGTGTTTTTGAATTTGAAATTTCAATTCAATTAAGTTTCACAAAATTTTTCAGTCACAAAAAGAGTCACCTCAAGGCACTTTATTTATAAGGTAAATACTGTACAGTAATACCTTTTATTTTTAGAATATACTCTTACCTCTTCACACTAAAAGAAAGGGGGAAAACATGGAGTACAATAAAAGGTTATCAGGAAATGGTTTTACTTGTCTGAAACATTTAGCAAATAGGGCTGTATGTAGCCCTTGAATAAACCTCTGCTTATAAAATAGTCTTTGTTCAGGTATTCATACAGTAACTTCACATTAGCATGATGTGTGTGATATTCATAAAGGCCTACTGAACAGATCTGATTCTTGGGGATTTTTTTGTACTTTGCACCTTGCAGCAGCAAGAAGGGAGCCGCATCACGCCGCAGGAAGTGAGCAGTCCCTCGGTGCCAGTCAGCCTGAGCAGGAGGCATCTTCAGTCGACCACAGCAGTAGCTCCAGTCGCCCACCCGATGACATCCACAGCAACAACAACAAAGCTAGTGCCTGTGTTTACCTTAGTGAGATAGTTTCACAAGGATTTTAGCTCAAGTAATGAAATAAACAATAAAAATTATGCTTTGTTTGTATAAAGAACATGTGGCACTTTAAACAATCATCTGTGTGAATGCATTCATTTCTCCTCTCAGTTTGTCTGTTAGAATAGAGAAAAGAAAGAAAAGAATAGATGAACCTTGTGCAAGTTCAGCATGAAAAACAAGAAAAACTTTTGAAAAACCTTTTGTAATTTTCACATCATATTACTTTTTTCAGCTTTAGGCCAAATTGTTGTTTTTACAAGCAGACTTTAAAAGAAACTTCAGAGACACTGCAAATATCAACATCTTTGTGCTATCAACAGATGAAATGAGTGATGACTGTATGTAAAATAAGGAAAGTCACTCATAGAAACACAAAAGTAGAATTCAGCTCTACAGAAGATTGTCTTTGATCTTTTGGTTTACCTAACAGTGATGTTTTTAAAACGTGAAGATGATTTTAGAGTGAAACCAAAAGTATCCACACAAGTTACACCACCTGCTCAGCACAATTGGAGACCAAAAGTAGAAGTAAAAGACAGCTTTAGGCTCTTTTTGTCAGTTGGACTCCGAATGAATAATACTCATGATCTTTGACTGTTGCATTGACTTAAAAGGTGACCATATATCAATGGTGTGTCCCCAAAAATCCAGATGTTGGCAGCTGTCTCTTATTGAAAATGAAGAGTAAAATATAAGGGAAGATGAAAGCTATGGGGTGATCATATTTAAATAAAGGAATCAGAATATAAATATGTCTTTATTTACATTTCAGTAATACATAAATAATATAGAAACATACTGTGTTACGCAACTATTTTAGTAACCATTTGAAAGTACTATATGGTATTATATGAACAGTCAACTGCAGGTGCACCAAATGGTCCTCAGTTATCATCAGCATGTATAAATATCCAACTGTCGTCTCTTTTATAGCAGTGCTTTGATTTATCAGCCACTCTGCAGTTTTCGGTTCATCCAGGAGGCTAAAAACTGATGACGCTAGACTCAAACTTAATTTGTCATCCACCAGAAAAGTCTTCAACCACAGGAAAAAATACTTTATCTAATTCAGTGAGACGCTAGCTTAAGAAAAAAAAAATGTCTTCTATAAGTCCCTAATCTGAAGACTTAAAAAAACCCAAAAAAAACCCCAGGAATATTACACTGTTGTTTGTTTTTTTCTTCATGCCACCTGTGCTCTCCTCCTCCTCCTGGAGGTAGATGTTTTTTGATGAAAATGAGTCCCTACGCCATCAGCTTTAGACGGATTCACAAATGTTGCTGGACTCGGCAGACAGACTGGAGATAGCAGTGCCGGTGTGAGGTGATCCAGGGCCTTGGGGGACCACGCTGTCCCCAGGGGGGGCTGCAGTCTGATCTGTGCTGATCCTCTCTACAATGCTGGACAAACAGTCCAAACTGGAAATGAGTGATGTTTTACTGCTGCTGCTGCTGCTGCTGCTGCAATCTTTAGAAAAGAAACAGGAGAAATCAGTTTTGGTTTACTTGCTTTTGTTGGTTGAATTAAAAGACCAGCTTAAAAAAAACCTAGTGCATTAAAAGAGTTAGTAGCCGGCACTAAGAGAACTACTGATTGTATCAAAAGAGTAAATGGTCAACTCCTGCATAATTCTCCTTTGAACCACATGATGGTGCAGCAAATCAGTGTAGTGTCCAAACTACCCTGTGTTCATTTTTCATGCTAGTGTTCAAGCTTAATAATTATGCATAATTCTAATTTTTATCATACTAGCATAAATGTTTTAGCAGCTGAAACAGTACACTATGCATTAAAAGAAAAAATATATATATATTAAAAAAAGAGAAATATCGGTTTTGTCATCTGTCAAGATAGCAAGAACTTAGAACAATGTGATGTTGGCTGCCATCAATAACTTCACCAAAGCTCTGGTAAAATGTCAGCTTTTGGTGAAAGTTTTCATAAAGTTTTAAAGAGAGTTTATAAAATTACACTTGTGATGTCATTACACGGTAGATTTAGTAGAAAAGTGTGAAGACTGACTGATGGGTTAGCTCACTAACCCTGGACTCAGTATATCAAAATGGTAATAGGATTAAATCTGCCCTAAAACCATTTACTGTGTGTCTCCTCCCGGCTTTCCTGTCTTCTCTCCATTGTCCTTTCTTTTTAAAGGCCAACAAACCCCCATAAAATATATTTAAAAAGAGTAAAAGATGATTTTACTTTAAAACAGAGAAGAAAAAAAGAGAGGCCATTTTAAACAATGATTATGTTTTGTTAAATATTAAAATGTTAATATTCTCGAAGACTGTAAAGGATTGGTCAAATTAAAAAGAGAGCAAACACACAGTTGGAAAATTGCAAACTGATAGCAGTTTTATAAGAAGACAATACTGACAAACTCACCCTCTGCTCTCTGGCTGCAGTACGAAGCGTCACTGTTTTCACTTCTGGCTGAACTCGGTGAGATAAAATCCACCTGAAAACAAGGATCAGACCATGTCACAATCAACCACAAACATTTACAAAAACTGATGGTTTTCTTGATATTTCAGCCTGACTAATTAATGCTGTCTCTGATTGTTTTATTTTATTACAGTAATCAAATCTGAGTCCTGTTTATAGCTAAATTTAGGCACTAAACTGAAATTTGAAACAGCTCATCTACAGTAAACACATAGTACAAGAAATGCATTTGAAACAGCCGTCTCACGCATATTTCAAACTGTGACAAATTAATAACTGCAAAACATTTCAGATGCATTTGAGTCCATTTTGCATTTTGAGTCCATTAAAAAAATTCTTCACTGTTGCCAACAATAAATATCCTCAACAGATTCTTTACATTTAACGAGGCAGCACATAAAGTGCTCAGCTGTTCACGGACTCACCGAGCCATCAGAGCAGTTGGAGTGGGGGCAGGAGGTTCCTGAGTCACTCCCATAGTGTTCGAGCTGCGGGTAGAAGCTATCATCCTGGCTGTTTCTGAGCAGCGCCTGTAGGGACTCAATGTAGTTGATTGCATTGCGGAGGATCTCCACCTTGGGCAGTCTCTGGTTTGGATTGGAAGCTGTGCAGCGTTTCAGTGTCTCGAATGCATCGTTGACTTTACTTAGTCGTCGCCTCTCACGCATGGTCGCCGCTTTCCTCCGGTCTGCATGGGTTGTCTTTCTCTTGCAGGCCTTGCAGGCCCACAGCAGGCAGTGACCTGCCTGGTGGAGGCCCCCAGGGGCCCTCACATGCTGGTCCTTTTCTTCTGTGATGGGGACGTGGTGCTGAAGATGGTCCTCTGACTTCAAAAAGTTGGCATGCATCAACCGGGTGTCAAGTTCATCAAAAAAGTTTAGGTCACTGGTGCTGAAGCAGGGGTCATAGAGGTCATCTGCTGAAGAGAGAACGAAGGGAAAGTCTGACAGATCCATCGGACTCCCTCCGAAAAATCAAAGGTGAGGAGGATGAAAAGGTTTCTTAAAAACTCCTTGTGATAACAGGAAAAACACAATAAAAGTCTCCTCAATTAAAAAGCCATAACATGAAAGGTGTGAAAAAAAGAAGCTGCTCGTTGTCAGTCAGCTGGCCTTTCAAAAGCAAATTAAAAGTGACTCTGTGGAGCTGAGAGTGTGTTTAAAGGGATAGTCTGTGGAACTTCACCTCCCTTAGCTTAGTTTGTTTTTATAAAAGAGGCAGTGTGGAGGCGGGGCATGTTGCGTAAGGGACCAATGGTGTGAGGGGTGTGTCTGTTTGAGAGTGTGTGTGAATGAATGAGTAATGTGAGGTCACTGAGGTGAAACTCAGCAACAATAAGGAAGCAATAAAAAAGCAATCGTGTCCATCTTTACAAATCATTCAGTCTGTTCTGAATACATGTCATGGTCCTAGTTAAGTGATCAAACACATGTGTGAATGGCCATTCAATAGCATCATTACACCTCACCTAAGAACCTTAGTTTGTTTCTGATACCATATCATGCTGTGTATGATACATTTTTATTGTATATTTGTTGTATCACAAATGATACATTGGGTGTTTTTGGCAACTTTTTGTTAAAAACAATGTTAATTTTAGAAAAAAAAAAGAGTTTTGTCCATAACATTTTGAAATTATGGCAAGTTTTGATCATGTTGATGAGATAGAGGTCTCAGAAACCCATGTATCAAATATGATACAAAGGGCATTATAGGGTTAAAATTACCAGTATATCGTGAAATATATCCAAATGAAAGCTTAATTATTATTAATTTGCAACTTCTACAGTTATCTGACAATTTATGAAAGCTTGACACCGACCCTATTTCTGCTTTAAGATCCCAATGATTTTCCAATCACACCCACGTAAAGATGTGATAATATGTTCTTTTTCATTCTTAAACATGTTTGTTCAAAGGTGAAGATCCATGCCACAGTAAATCAGAGAGAATTCCTTTCAGAAACAGTACTATAACATTCAGCTTAATGTTAAAAACAATAACCTACACAAGACATTTCTTGTGTAGGTTATTGAAAAAGATTTTCTGCAATAAACAAGCACAATAGAATACATAGAATAGAGTCGTAATGAAGTTACACTAGACAAGCACAGTGATTTACTGCGGTGTCCTGACAGTCCTGCTGAGCAGGTCAACGTGTCACACAGCCGTCAGTGTGTGTGTGTGTGTGTGTGTGTGGGGGGGGGGGGGGGGGGGGGGGGGTGTCAGTTTGGCCAAACAGGTGAACTATGTTCTTTTTAAAGGTTTCAGTGTACACTGTTGAAATCCCATTATTCTTCTAGACTCATATGAATTGCATGGAGCCTTGTAGGGCCTAGAAATTTCTATATATGACTACAGATACATCCAGTTGAGGTCAGAGATTTAAATACACTCATCATGGGCACGGATATCATGGTAATTTGGGGGTTTAATAATTTATTTTAATTGGGTTAATTAATTCTTTTCTGGGATGGAATGATTTTACTTTAATGACTCTACAAAGATCAATTGGATGCACAAGTTTGAACATTTTTTGGGATTGCTCTCATTCACAGAGGTATAATCCTTTAAATAAATGCTCATGATGACTGTATGTAAACTTCTGGCCACAACAGCATACATTTG